GAAGACTCCGCACGTGACAATTTTTAGGGACAAACCGTTAAAATAAGAACACTACGAGAGGTTAATAAACATTAGTATTATTTGGAGCAAGACAATATCACTCAATAGTCATGTGAAGTAATTTTTAGATAGTCTTTAATAAACTACAAAGTCACAACAAGCAATGAGTTGTTATCGGAAATGGAGTAATAATTATTATAATCACAAGAACACCAGTTTAAACGTTTGATTATCAGTTATTTCACTCGTGGCACAATAATGGAAATAAAAAACAATGTGAATCATAAAATACGTCAGACAGGATAACAATATTGCTGAGAAATTCAAGTCTGATAATCGTGTAAGTTACAACCATACTAACTTTAAGAGCAGTTCGAACAACTGGGATCAAATTCATTTTTCTCGTAAGTTGATCTTATTGGGGATAAAAAACAAATAGAAAACCAAATTCAGATTAACACAAGCTTTTGCTGTGCTTCAAGTGACCGAGTAATACGATTCTTGCAAACCCATTTAGTGAGACGCGATGCATAAATTAGAAAATAGGTCGACATTGATTTTGTTTCATGCATTTAGTTCTTATTATCTTGAAGAGAGTAAGTGGTGGAGCGATGAGTTCGAAGACATATATTGTTGCAAATACCTTGGAGGTGATGCATTTAAAACAAGGAAAAAACTGCAGGAATGATTTAGTAAACTGGAGATAAAGTAGCTATGGTGAGGAAACATTTGCAACCATGTCCTTTTGGAAACTTAAGTCCGACGTAAGTCGACTATGGCTTCGGTGAGTTTGAGTATCGACTGATGATGCTGAAAGATTTCAGTCTATCAACTTGATGTCTTGCAATACCACTACTAGAAGCCATTACTCTCATTGAGCTGAGATTTTTGGGATATCTTCTTGAAATCGAACGCAGGTCGTTCTTTCTGTTCAACCAATGTAACTGCTTGGTAAGTAAATGTAAATTTATATGAGCAGTTGGTTGTAACACAGAAGGGGTACTTATCGAACTTTGACAGGAGTAAGGAACATATTGTTTTGTGCAGAGTAATCCACCTGTAGGATAAGTTCTATTAAGTGTGGTTTTAGTCTTCTCTTTATAATTACTTCAATATCGTCACCTTCCAATTCAAGTTAGATGAAAATTGGTTTCTTTTCTGCTGTAGTTTCTTGGGCACTTTATCTCTATATATCTCATATTTCACAACAAATTTCCTTGGATACCCATTGTTCTTTAAGCATTCTTTAACTCATTAATTTTACTCGTGTATCGATACTACATATCTGCTTCATTCTGTTTTGTAATTAATCAGACAACAGCTGTTAAGATTTAGATAAACACCATCCCATGTATCTTTTCGATAAACTGGATGTTGAACTGTACCATCCTCCCTTTGTTGTATGGTAATGTTAAGAAAGTGGAATTTATCGTCCTTTTCCGGTCCCATGGTAAACTGTCTATTTTAATAAGCGTCGTTGAGAAGTTTTAGTTGCCGCTAAACATTACATATAATAAAAGTATTGTCAAGATAATTTGCATAATACATCATTCTATCAACTACTCCTTTAAGCTTGGTCTTTTCAAGGTGAACTTCCTTTTACTACACCATAGGTTTAACGATGTATAACGTTATCAAATCGGTTTTAGTCGTTTCGTAGTATCAAACCGTAAATTCATCACCACTACGACTTCCATAGGATATATTAATCTTTATGGATACTACTGCATAGGATACATCCAAAACATCACCCCATAACAGTCCACAAATAGACGCCAAGCCATTTTTACACTGTCTTGGTACAGAACGCGAATAATGTTTAAGGAACAACGGTAATGGAACAAAGAAATTAACGTGATGAACCAGATTCGTATTTGAATAGGTAAATTTTTTGAGTAAGAAACCATGGAGTTCATTTTGTATTTGACGATTGCCGATATATCAGAATTGTCTGATCTAGTCTGGCTAGCGACTGCAGTAGATGTTGAGCACGGTGTTCCCACACGTGATCTAGTACGGATGCATGACCGAGCGCCTTCAGCTAGGTGAGTCCACTAAAACTAATCTGGCCAGCATTCAATGTCGAAAACTTACAGAGCTATTTATTTTGGGGATTGATTTACCGCTAACAGATGAATTATGAAATTCGACCTCAAATTAGATTTAAAATACAGGATATAACTATAAAATGGAAGATGTTATGGTATAGGTGAATGAAGATTTCTTAAATAAGAAATGATTCAGGGACAAAACTACTGAACTTTAAGGAAATATATCATGATGTAACCTTAGGAAGGTTCGACAAGCTGTTAATAAACTGAAATATATGATCCCGTTAGACTAACATACACTTACCGCTATATTTGCGTAGCTTAGATGTCTCATTCGAACATGATGACATTTTTGTTGTATGTGTTAGACAACATTCACACCATTTTATTATTGCTCATTTAATTAGCACATTACGTGACCCTTGACTGCCCAGTTGATCTGGCCGATAAATACATTGTTATTATTCTCAACCTACGTTGTCTGGTTTTTACATACAATTTTAACTTCGTGATTTGACTTGAATGAAAATCCGAGATCAGTATACATCACCTAGTTGTCATTCCAACACAAAGAAAGCTGACAAACATGATAAATAACCCTAAATCTATATATTTTAAATAATAAACTCGGTTATTATTTATTTGACCACATGAATATTCGTGCGAGAGGGCACCAAATATATATACGCCACACAAAACAATGAGAATGGGAGAGAAAAAAGGAAAGGAGCGTAAAAGAAAAAAAACAATAACGAACAGATTAGTGTAAGGCAATGTAATAATAATAATGGGGGAAATGGGAAGGTACAACCAGAAGAAACCTTTCAGTTAAGGAAGATACAACCACTTTTTATGAGAGGCCAGGTTTCATAAGCACAGAGCAAGACTACTCTCACCGACGCGTTGTAAATCCGACCTTGTACAGCCTGGCTTCTGCTGGTTCTTCTCGACTCCCTGGCTGGGGTCCGAGAGATGGTGCGACACAGTGGCTAGAGACGTTACCAGATATGGCTCAGAATAGAAGCCAGTGGCGATCCTGATGTAACCTTACTTTACTTTCTTCATAAAAAGTGGTTGTGTCCTCCTTAACTGAAAGATTTCTTCTCATTGTACCTTTCCGTTCCCCCATTTTTACCATTATTATTATTACACCACCTTACATCAATCTCTCCGTTATTATTCTCTTTTTTTCTTTTCCTTCCCCTTAAATTCTCATTGTTTTGTGTGGCGCATTCTTGTACCAATATTTGTGTGTTCAAATAAATAAATAAATAATGCGTATAGTTTTATCGTATAATTGTTAATTAACTAAACTATTCATATTGATCTCTCCCTCTTATCATAAGCTTCATTTTAACCTATGAACTGTTATTATACGATTTTCCATTCTTGAATTATTCCCTGTCTATTGATCACTACCTCCCACGTTCACAGCCACATTCGGCCAAATCTTGTATAAATGTTGTTTCCTATTTTATGGTACGATGTGGTCTGTTTGATTGGCATATGAACTCAGTATGTTTGAAATATAATGATTCATATAGCAGAGGCTCGGATTGGTGTTCTGGAATTAACTGGCTGGGCTAGACAGGAAGCGGGACCAACAAGGACTCTAGACTGCTCATAAGTATGACGGTGTTCTAACATTTTGCGGAGGGTGAAGATATGATCAATACATCCTCGACCAGAACGAAAACCAGCCTGCAAAGTGGTTTCAGAAAAACTGCTTCAGTATTCGTATTTCGTGGTAGCATACACTTTTCAACCAGTCAGTGACTCGAGAACGTTTAGATAGAACCGAGCTTCCACCACAGGCGAACTGCTGTATAAGTCGGACAACAAGGATACATAAAGCGGGAATAAAAGAGAGTGGATAAATGACGTAGTAAGTAATAACAATGTGAATTGTTTGATTGTAAATCGAAGCGTGAATAGTTTTCAGTAAATATCGTCATTTTCATATTGTATGTGGGCTGTGATGCTGCCCGGGTGCCCAGACCGAAGCAGGTGGTTTTCTTAGGGGGCCACACCCGAGCCATTGACCTAAAAGTCTGACCGATAATTCGGACGTGATAAAAATGTTTTGGAATTCTCTTCATTTGTCATTATTTTGTGAGAATTTCTAAACAATAAATGACTACTACTACTACTACGGATACATGCAAATATATTGCTTTTGATCAACCCATACTTTGTTTCATCCCTTCAATTTTTATTTAACACACAAACATTGGCACAAGGATGTACACCACATAAATCATCCCGTTTTTACGAGGGCTAGGATACTGCCCGGGCGCCCAAGTCGAAGGTGGTTTTCTTAGGGGGTCACACCCGGAACCTTCGACCTAAAGATATAACCTACAAGGCAGTAGAGCAATGTAAGGAGATGCAGTCTTATGGTGACTCGTGACCAACAATAGGTTCATACGCCATTTGTTTCCTTAGGATCCCGGAGCCCATGTGCACCAATAGTTTACAATCATGATTTTCCAACTCTCTCAGGTGAATCCTCCATATGCACCAGCCCGTTTAAAGCGCCGGACATTCGCTGTCCATCCTGTCAATTTCCTAAACAACACCCCAGCCGCGAGAAGGCAGTGAGTAGGACTTCCCTGGTAGTGGTTGTATGCACGTGGCCATGTGAGAGCATCTCGAGAGAAAGAGCTGAATTACCCCATTCTCGGCCATACCGGAGCATTGAGGAGCCTTTCAATCACCACTTTACCTGTCTATTTATGTTATGAATGGTTAGCAATAATATTTTAAATTGTGGATCCACGAAGGTAAACTAATCTGTTGAAATGTCATTTCTGATTTATTCGAGTAAACATCGTGGTAAATGTGCATGAAAGTTCGCAATGAAATATTAGTAGAACCCATGAAACAAACAGGTTCGGATTTGAATACTAGGATTAATAACAAGATTACTGCTTGTTACACAAGTTTTTTGGGTGAGTGTGATTTATTACAGGATAAAACGATTAATGTTTTGTTCTTTGAGGTAAATAGTTCGGACAGAAAGAACCCATCAAGCTCAAGAAACATGTCACTTTAAATCCTACTCCTTAACAAAAAATCGCCTCCGTCATCTCACTAGAATATACGGTACATTCAGTGATGTGGATTTACATCGAATTCCAATAACATTTCCTGCGGTCTCCTAATCCCAACTGCAAAAAATCCTGATATATTTTTAATCATTTTTATTGGCCGTATCATAACTATAACATGCAAAACAAACGCTATAAAGGAAAATATTCACCTCGTACAATACGATTATGAGTAAGGACGATCAGAGTATCTGTTCATTACTGTAAGCTATAGATGACTAAAATGATCCAAAACATGTATAAATATTGGTGGATGAGTGAATAATGAAGAAATTATCGATGGGGATCATTCTTCGCTTCATTTCTTTTTTCCCTGGTTCGCCACACGTGCTATAGCGGCTGCTACTGTCGCTTCATCGGCAAGATAATAGTGTTTAGTTGGCTTCAAGTTCGCATCCAGTTCATAAACTAGTGGAATACCTAGAAAAACGCAAAATACATTGGACGTTAGTGTAGTAAACGATATTATTTAGCTTCATCAAGAAATTGTGCAATTAGGTTAACAAAACTTCGAGGGTTAGCCAGCTGTTATACATTACTCATATCATTAGTTAATCAACCTTTTCTTAATGAACTTAATTAGTCATGTCAAGTTGAGGAAGCCCAAACCTTTATAAAAACAGTAGCTACTCAAGGTTTCATATTTCATCAACTAATTTTTCATGCTAATTGTATTTATTGTGCACTTTATTTATGGTTTTGTCGAACAAGTCATTCACTATTGGTTTGATATTTTAACGTACCATTTTGTGAACCAAGAACGGCAATATTTGCAGAATACAATGAATCGACCGTTTTGTTGTTTCACCTCAGTTACATAAAAGCTAATAAATTTAGTGATTTGAAATCTTACCATAACCGTAAAGTGTAAATTATATTAAAAATTAAAGTTTTAGCAGAGATCATATAAATGACAGGAGAGACAGTTCTAAAATGTATCAAATAATTTCATTACGTAATATCACGAGGATACAGAAGGTTATGAAAAAGATGTTTTGTGACTACTTGTCTACAGGTTTCAAAATACAAATATGTTATGTGCACAAAAAATATGCCATTTGATATAAAGGTAACAATTAGTCTTGGTGTTTCACGAATTTAATAAAATTAGTTAATAACTAACGAATGCTGATTCTAATTTCCGAAAATCGTTTAGTACTTTAGTAAACGAGTTTCCTGATACGCCGTAATACAAAACGAATTACCAGCTGTTTGGTTTACGAAGTCAATAAAAGAGTAGCTTTTCATAAAAAAGAGCACCCAGAATATTGTTATAATTTATTTACACATTGAAACAAACAGGCAAATAGTGTCGAAAAATATTTCAAAATTTTCGGACAGACTAAAGTAAATTTTTAAAAAGAATGAAGATATTCTAAACTGATCATCATGACAACATTAACTTTTCACAAGTATCATGCGTAATATATCCTTGACGCTTAATAACCATAACACTAAATATGTTTAAAAATCGAGAAGATACAAGAAAGGATCAACTTCTTTGCAAAAACCATCCCATGGGATTACTAAGAAAATTATCAGCGATATATTTATTCATGCCATGCTGGAAAAAAAACAACATTAAACTAACCAGTGGGTATATTAAGCTCCACAATATCTGAATCCGATGTATTATCCAAGTACTTGATAAGCGCTCGTAAACTGTTCCCATGGGCGACAATCAGAACCTGTTCGTGTCTCTAAATTTATAGAAGGAATGAACCACGACGTCAGTCAAATACAGCACAAAATAAGTAAGAAAATTGATAATATTAAAAAGTCCTCGTTTGTGTGTTTCATTGTTAATTGCCTAAAAACGTCTAATCATTTAAAATAATCCAACTAGTAAAATAGGGTTTAGTCCAGTTATCTGGTGAAAACATTGATGATATCCGGGTTTTTTGATATTTTAAATTAAACTGATCCGTTTAATATTTAAATCCTGTTACTAAGGGAATGGGCAAGATGGATTCCCGAAACCTCCAGGAAGAGGTCCTTATCACACGAGCAAGTTTGACAAAGCAAGAACAGCAAGCCAGGTTTATCAATGGGAAAAATTGTGCAAGTCCAAGCGATCGAAAATAAAACTAGTTTCAGAGCTAGTTTATGATCAGTTTTTATTAGTGAAGACTGACCGTAATGCGTCAAGATGTTACGTAAGTAGATTATCAGTTGTAGTAGAAACAAGATATAACTCAGCAGTAATGATTGACTACTGACTAACCAACATGAAAAAAGCTCTCAAAGAAAGGATAAAATGTTGATCAAACTCCTCTTATGTAGACTTTTAAGTGCTTTGGAATTTTTTAGATTAAAATTGATTTCTTTTATTGGACTGATGAACTGGATTTAAGTTTATTTTGATGAGTAAACTGGTCTCGAATAATGTTAACCTATCTGTTAACTTGATATTACACGATCAATGTAGGTTAGGCTATCAAAAAGATCATATAAGGAGTGTTTTTGGTGGAGTTTTGTTCTCTCAGCTGATCACGACCAAACCATCCAGCTCAGAGAACAAAACTCCACCAAAATCATCTACCTGAGCTACAAATCTTCTCCACCATCTCAATATAAGGAGTGTTTTAGTCACAGAATGAACACTTTATATTTGAGTGACAAGTAATGCTTAAATACATTTCTACTAACGGGCACAGCTACTTTAATTTTTAGATAATACCATTTTACAATATAGCCTTACAGTTTTTAGAATTCTACATTTCAAAAGGTAATCGCTAGATTCTATAATATGAAAGCATACAAATTACAATATCACCGCCACCTAATATTACCATTACATTCGAGATAACCTACTTTCACTATAGTCATCCTGAATTGTTTATCAAAATGTAAGTAATCTTATTTACATTGTATCATACTTAATCGATACCTTCGAAATACAGATAAATTTATAGTCGATTAAAGTGATTGTTAAATGTTTGACGAAATATAGAGTCTCCGATTTCTAAATAGAATGATAACATATCCGAAAATGTAAAACTGATGAATCAAAGATTGTGTTTGAAATGAAAAAATGTAATATGTTTATACCTTGATGCTTGCAGAAATAGTATCAAACCAAAATGGCAGTACACGTTGAACAGTGTCCTTTAAACACTCAGTACGTGGTATGCAGGAAGAGTCAAGTAACTGAAAACGAAATCAATCATTAAAATAATATCAAGATTGCGTCATGTAAGTATGTAGTAAAGTAACTGAATATCACAAGCAGAAATAAGTAACAACAGAGCTGTAACTAGTTTAAAAACGTTTGAGAAATCTGGAATCCTGTTTACGACTGTAAAGACCTACGTTCTCTCTCAACTATGATCACAATGAATGAAGTATACAAATACTGGTATATTTCCAAACATATAATTGTGGTGTAACACAATTATCAATAAAAACAGTTTTTGATACAGTAGAGGTTTATGTACTAGGCTTTAAATTACACTTATATGGAGGCTAGATATTAGCATGTTGAAGCTCCGAAGCCCGGATCTCCAAATAAATAGATGAGATCACTGCAATTTAAATCATGGAACTTTGTAATGTATATTCATAAAGCAAAGTAACATATGAAGAAAAACAAGTGTTGTGAGTCCGATAATAATATGATGATACAAATATAAATTTTTTTCGATTGAGATCATCAACCAATTGATGTTAGACTATCACAATTGCTAAAGCTAGCAATTGAAATGAGAAAATCCTAAGAGTTTCTACTTACTAAGAAAGTTCGTCACTTTCTTTTTAGTACAGTAAGTGAAAACTGATATAACATTATTAGAGATTTCGATGAGTGCCTGATAAGATCTTGAGTTACAGAATTAGATAATTTATACAACAACTACAGATTTCATGATTTGCAAACAGAAACGAAATGAAAATACTGCCCTTAATTTGAACGGCTTTATTTAATGAATGCCTCATTGCCTTTCATATAATTTCAAGACCCAAAAAACCGTGATTGATAAGATAATGCCGAAAAATCAAAAGTAGGATATATGCTGGAGCAAAGTACAACACACCGATAAATTCTTACTACTTAACTCTATGGCGTAATTAGTTTACAAAAGATACATTAATGACTATCGACTAACACTTCCGCGTTGTTTGCCAGATCTTTTTATCGTATTAACAATCCAACTGGGTTTAGTGGATATTACACAGATATAAGAACGATAAAGATGGGTGAATATCAGTGAGAACGTTAACACTTTATAACTGAAGGTTACAAAACTGGATCATAAAATAAGCAAAGTGGGCATTAACATAGATTTTACCAGGGAATTTTGTCTACCCAATTGGCTTTAATTATTTAACACACAAACATTGGCACAAGGATGTACACTACACAAATCACCCCGTTTTTATGAGGGCTAGGATACTGCCCAGGCGCCCAAGTCGAAGCAGGTGGTTTTCTTAGGGGGTCACACCCGGAGCCTTCGACCTAAAGATATAACCTACAAGGCAGTGGAGCAATGGTCCGATTGATAATTCGCTAACATCAAATCTGCCGTCACAGTTATAGCAGTAAGGAGATGCAGTCTTATGGTGACTCGTGACCAACAATAGGTTCATACGCCATTTGTTTTCTTAGGATCCCGAAGCCAATGTGCACCAATAGTTTACAATCATGATTTTCCAACTCCCTTAGGTGAATCCTCCATATGCACCAGCCAGTTTAAAGCGTCGAACATTCGCTGTTCGTCCTGTCAATTTCCTAAACAACACCCCAGCCGCGAGAAGGCAGTGAGTAGGACTTCCCTGGTAGTGGTTGTATGCACGTGGCCATGTGAGAGCATTTCGAGAGAAAGAGCTGAATTACCCAATTCTCGGCCGTAACAAGGCATTTAGGGATCCTACACCAGTAATTATTGAGCGTTGAGGTAGCCGATGGATCGGGATACATAATATATATCTTAACCATCTCAGCCAATGGTTATTTATTTATTTGAACCCAAAAACATTAGTACAAGGGGGCACCAAATACATAGGCGCCACACAATAGCGATGAGGCCAATAGTAGTTATTATTGCTTTGTGTGAGGGCTGTGATACTGTCTCATCCATCGACTTGCCATCCTTACCTATTAATCTGTCTAACCATTGCGTTGCTAAGACAATGATTTCATAATACATGAGCAATGGTTGGAAGATACCTATAATGGAATACTAGTAATTTACGAATAGTCACTATTTTTATAGGATGTTTCGCAGCCATAAAGAAGAATAGAGCCAACTGATGACCAACATAAATACCGGTGTGTAAAATCTTGTGATTTCTGACAGTAATAATAATCCGGGATTTTATAGGGAAACTCATATACTCCAACTTATTACTTTTAGCTTGTATTTGCTGATTTTTCATTTACAAATAAAGTGTGGGGGTTTGTCGCTAAAAATCTAAGTGTCCTTTACAGACAATTATTCATGTCAGAACTGTTTCGAAAAGCACGACAAATTTTCTAGGGGCTCTACAGGAGCCAGAGATTCCATCCGATCAGAACCTGGTAGAAACTTTTAGAATACTACGGGGCATGCTACGATTGGACAATAGCATGACTTGCTTTTTGCAGATCGGCCGAATTGTAATGATGTTATAGCCAATACTAATAACTACAAATACCCATGTTTTTCTGTAAAATTTTTATTCTTACCCAACAATCCTTGCTTCTTCCGTCTTTTGATTTGAGACTATGGGGTTCTACACGTTCGAGTGCCGTTAGTCGCATATCGTATTTTGCCATAATCAAGTACAGGACATAACAATTCATTAACGATTTACGACAGTATCTAATCTAGTAGATGTGTATGTTTATTTTAAATACGAAAGCTAACGCTCCGGGATACTTTTCAGGTGAAAGCAGGAAGCATTCTTTTCGCCGCATATACAGACACAGACAACATGAGAATATGTGTACTACATGAAAAGACCAAGAAGTTCAGTGAATTTGGTATCAAGACGTAATGGTAAATCGCAGTCGTTTTTTATCAGGTGGCACTTTGCAAAAGCAGTATAGCATGCATGAGAGAGACTATAATTTATGAACGAACCAATCAGATTTACGATAACAGGTCTTGAATTTTGGCCGGAAATTCAATCATTCATTTGGTTAGAGTTTTGGTATTATAGCTGATGTCAGTTCGTGATGAAAACCCTATATCTTATTCCTAACCCTAACTACCAACTGTAAATACTAATCCTAATCCCTCACACTGGTTTATAACACTTACTTAGCCGTAGTATGTAGGTAGACATTCTCATGGTCTCTTTAGCGTCGCTCAAAGATCGTCCATAAATTATATTCACATCCATGTATGTGTTTAGAAAGTCTAAACAAGGGTTCTTAATGTTTGTGTATGCCATTGGGTTTTTTTGAGTTAAAGTATGTGACTGAAAAGTATAGAAAATATTCCTCGTTCATCAGTCAAGCGATCGCCAGTAAAATTAAATTCTTAAACGCCAAACTTCGTTCATTACGCACATATATTAAGTATGTTACGATCGTACAAACTGCAATTAATATTTATAAAATCCTAATATTACTGTTGAGTACAGTATATCATATATATTCCCAGAAAATAGACCAATCGGTATTTAACGTAAGCACTTTTCTGATCGAACTTCCAATAGATAAATTTAATGTCTATGCTACATCAAAGGTTTAAAACTGGTAACTAGGTTTTAATAGTGTATTGAAATTGTTGGAATATTTAGGACTTTTGAGATTAATGTGTGAACAGAATCTGGACTGTACGGTCTACAGTATGTTCGTGGTTAAATGAGGTCATTTCTAAGCCTTCGTTATCTAATGAACGAATTGAAAAAACAAATACTACATAAACAGATCCTTATGAATCAATATAAAACCAGACATGATTTTTATAACCAGGTGTAGCGACTGCACCCGTTTCAACCAACAATGCGACCGGGTGAAGAAGTATACTAGAGTGAATAAATATATTTCATTTTAGGGAATTAAGAGTATGTGAAAAATTGAACAGTTTAAAAGTCAGCCATGTATAATGTAGGACCAGGTACATATGTTAATCGGTATAAGTTCAGTCCATAATGTTTTTAAGAAATATATTTAAGAGAAATGGAAATACTTACGGCATACTTTGGCTCATTACCGGGGAAGCGAGGATCTGAAGTATCAACAGGAGGGGGAGGTATATCATAAGCACGTCTCCATATTTTAACTTGTTCTTCTCCATGTTTGGCAGCGGTTTCAGACTTATTTAAACCTTGAAGAGCACCGTACATCCTTTCATTTAGACGCCATGTTCTGTAGTAAATAAAAAACACATGAGTTTTAAAAGTCAATATTTTAGAATAAAACTTGTCAAGCGTACTTTTGTTTAATCTAGAGGTTAACTTACATGAAATTAAAACCAGAAAATTTGTGTTCATAAAATAGTGGATAAAAATGAACAAGGAAACCGGAACAACTCCCGCGATATGATGGGACAAAAAGGTAACACTATTTTAGGTCACTATCTCTTGTTAATTGATTCTACGTATTCATCTAGGTGGATTACATTCAGTGTTTTATGCAGCAACCATGTATTTGTCCCCATGTAAGAACATTTAGTATATGTAAATACTAGTATACAAATGTGCATTCCAAACTACTGATAGACATGGGCTCCAGAATCCTAAGAAAACAAATGGCGTATGAACCTATTGTTGGTCACGAGTTATCATAAGACTGCATCTCCTTACGTTGCTCCATTGCCTAGTACGTTAGACCTGCAGGTCAAAGGCTCGAGGAGTGTTCTATTCAGAAAACTATCTGCTTCAGTCTAGACACCTGGGTATCCCAGCCCCCATAAAAGTCGAATGCCGAGATGTGGCGCATATATATGGTGCCTCCATGTACCAACGTTTGTATTTGAATAAATACACGGTAGGACTGGAAATACACCAGCAGTGATACGGACAAAACACTCGTTGAGTGAAAATTAACAAGCGAATTAGGGAGGGTCATGACGAAGACTAGATTGTAAGTTTGAATAGTATGTTGTTAGCTGCCCCCCCCCAAATGTACATGAAGAATGTTGAGCTAAGATAGTATATTCGCCCCCAAATGACCTGGTATGGCCAAGAGTGGGGTGGGCCCGCCCTCCCTCTCGAAATGCTCTCACATGGCCACGCATATACAGCCTCTGCCAGGGAAGTCCTACTCATTGACTTCTCGCACCACGGGTGTTGTTTACGAAATTGAGAGGACGAAAAGCGAACGTCCAGCGCTTTAACCGGATTCCAAACCAATGGTGCACATGGGCTCCAGTATCCTGCGGGAAGAAATGGCGTATGAACCAATCGTTGGTCACCGGCTACTGTGGGACTGCATCTCACGATGCTCCACTGCCTTGTGGGTCAGACCTTAAGGTCAAAGGCTCGGGGTGTGACCCCCTAAGAAAACCACCTGCTTCGGCCTGGGCACCCGGTCAGTATCACAGCCCTCACACAAACCGAATGATTTATGTGGCGCATATCTATTCGGTGCCTTTTTGTACCAATGTTTATGTATTTAAATAAAACAAATAATAACGTTGTTAGCTAATCGAGATTTTCGAGAATTAAGTAGAGGATTAATCAGAGGTTATTTGTTATAGGTGTGCTCTTACAAGGTCTGTAACAAACACCATAGGATGGACTTTTGCAGGTTATAAGAAACTGCGAACCTAACAAGTTGTTTATTTGACAGGCAACTACTAATGTCTTGTAAATACATGTGAAGGTATTTGCAATCTAACAAGAACTGTATATATTTGAAAGCAAAACTCAATAAATCTTACAAACTGACATCATATCTTCATCTACCAACCCAATAGTTTTTTGAAGAACTTACAATAATCGAACTGCTACTTTTACTTAGTATTTTACGTCGAACTTTAGAATTACTCTCTTGTGTTTGGTTCACTACATTTAACAAACACAAAAAACTCATCACCGAGAAATATATTTTATTACTGCTAGTAAATGTCTATTGACATTACTTGGCTCTGAAACAATTGGGGACTACTAAATTACATTAATTTGGATTGTGGGATCTATTTGATTTGGAGTCTTAATTACTTTAACTGTGAACTAAATGTTGCTATCTTTTTAACTCCCTTATTTTAATCTAAAAGTAATCGTAGGAGACAAGTAGACGTATTATATTCCGCAAAACCCACCAAATATTTTTGTTGTCATGCCTAAATGAGGGGATATAATGTTTACTTTGGAAGGAACAGAACATAGATAAGTGGGTTAAGGAGGTCTATAATTTCTGGACGCTACTGTTTGCTGGTTTCCAGTGGATCTTAACTGAGAAATATGCAACTATTTTAGATATTTTTCCCGCGATTGTCAACAGGATCACTGATAGTATCATTAACTCGAAATGAAAATTTTGAAAATAGGGATGACCATAAAAGTCACATGAAACACTCGAGTGGCACAACATAAAAAATAAAGGCCAGAATAACGCACTTCGTCACAGGTATCCAATTAAGATCAAGTTCATCAAGGACAAGGTTTAAAGTCTTGATGGCTCTTTTTAGAACACTTGTATAGGCGATGTCAAAGGTGAAATGATTTTGGTGAAGAAGTTGGCCAGCTTGTTTAGCTTCAGTGATACCTTGTCCTGAAAGGTCTGCATCGTGCCAACCACAAAATCGATTTTCCTCATTGTAAACACTCTCTCCGTGGCGGATAAACACGATCCTGTAAGGGGCCATGCCGCGATATACCTGAAAAGTTTAGAATGCATTAGTACACATGGCTTTTCTTGACTAACAACAGGAAATAATAGACCTGATAATCGAATATCAGACTGCAACCTGAAAGCCTGCTTTCAACTAGTTGGAGACAGCTTTCAGACAATAGTGAGCGTTTGTATTCATTTAAATGTTCAAAAACATCCTAGCCTTGTGTAAATTTGGGGGAAAACCCCTAATCATATGCAGATTTCAGTTTTATTTCGTGGTATTATCCCAAACTTCATCCACAATTTTTGATGAGACTGTCCCAAAGCTGATCAATTTTGTCCAAACGTAGCTAGTTTGTGCGGTGCCCAAGTTTGCTTGTCACAGCCTATAACTGTACTTTAATACTTACCACTCTGGTAATGTCGGAATAACCGCGAAATAGCCCTACTCTCCGCAAACTACTTATACCAAAGTTGAAAAGTCTATTCCATTTCATGTCAAATGGAATATTAACGACCCAAATATTCCACTTTAAATCTCAAAAGGAGCCTTAGAGTACCCCACAGTGAGTGGAGGGTGTAAAAGGACGAGTTACTTTACTACAACCAAATTAAATCCAGCAGACTCGACGCACCCAGCAAACCGAAGACTAAATCACGTACACCAACCAATAATCCTCAAAACCCACTGGTTGTCGGTACAAGTTGTTTGATTAGTCTAAACAAAATCGCACCATTTATTACATGCATTTGTGACTAGTCGTTACAAAGGTTTTGATCTTTTTTATAACACTTGAATCTTTTAAAACTACAAATGAAGCCACCTGCATGGCACGCAACCTTGTTTAATCATCATACACTGCAGAATTAGCAAAGTGTTTGTTCCTTTGAATTTGTATCTGTATTGTGTATAATTGATCTTGGTTACGAACATACATGCCTCTTACTGAACATGCTCTCTGGAGATTTACAAAAAAATAATTCATTCAGGCTTTTACTAGCATCTGTTATACAGTTTTCATCAATATATTCATGAAGAATTCACGCAAACGACCGTTTCGCTGTTATATTTGGTATGCAGTGCAACAACTGCAAAGGTTGTTTCCATGAAGTGTGTGCAGATATCACAGCAACTGCTTACAACAGACTCAGCTAGTCGGATCATAAGTGGGTATGTGTTACGTGCGGTACGGATGCTGTAGTTTTGCTGAGTAAAATCATTATCCTACTGACAGGTCCGCAGAGTAAGTTGTCAGCAAACTTAGAAAAAGATCGTTACAAAACGGCTAGACTAAAACAGGAATAGGGATGTCAGTAGGTCTACTATCGATGGAGCACGCATTAACACTAGTGATGACATGCTGAAACTCAGCATCATCATTACGTCGACTGTAATAGAATCCCTTATCAAACTCGGGTCTGCCAGCTCAGGGTCCTTGAATGCAACAGTGTTTCCCCAAAACTCTGTAGGTGATTAGACCCACGTTTACAGAGCTAAAAAATACCAGGCGTCACCGTCTAAGCTGAACATCTCAAGTGTTGTACGGAAACCAACTGGTGATTTGATCGCATAGTCTAACCCCAAGAATGTCCATCCGGTCACTAAAGAGCCTAGGATTCAGAAACATGCTTCAACCTCCAAACAACAAAGTTCTGAACCTGAACGCACCAAAAAACCTGAGAAAACAATAACGGTTCGTGATGACTTTCTCATAATCATGAACCTCATAGACAACTCTGACCTTCCTCTTAGTTTGCAGGACAAAAATGACAGGATGCTCTGGGGTGAATTGAACAAGAGGCTTGAAATTCCTAGAATGGAGCCTTTGATGGTCACACGGCTCACTCGGGGAAAGGAATCTAAGCATCAAAACCACTCGAGGCCACATCGTGTAACATTTAGGAATGCTACAGACGTAGAGGATGTCCTGCTAGCTAGTCATTTACCGAAATCCGATGGGAACGTAAGAATACTGCCCGATATACCGTATTTTGAGCTTAATCTCATCCGGAACATCTTTAAAGAATCTCGCGAGAAGTTTTTCCGCGGAAGGAATATAATTGTGCAAGGTGTTTCGGAAAACACGGACCCTATTCGAGGAAACTCTGATATTAGGGAATGGAAATTCATCAAGCAGTCCCTGAGGCTGTGACGAGACTGGCCAAGAAATACGGTGATTCTAGACTCCGGCTGATGAGGATAACTTTTACATCCTCCCACATGACGACCGCAACTCTGGGAGCATTACGTGTCAACAGATATCGGTTGCCAACTGAAATCCATATGCACCCGGATAGGCCACATGACGCCAGGATCAGGCAGAAAGGTAAGTTGGAGCTGACCATTCCACTTGCGGACTGTCTTGTTCATAAAAGAAACGTGTAAAGGACAGGGCCTACCAACTCGACAAACCTTATAAAGGTAGGCTACCTGTCCATTCACGTAAAGCTCATACAGACTAACAGAAAAGAGAAGCTCACGCGTTTCAAATTGGGAGCATAAACTGTCTTTACATGAACGACGCGATTGTACCAAACAAAATGAATGAGCTACATGAGCTTAGCAATGTTAATAAAGCTCATCTGATAGGAATATCTAAAACTGATATTTTCTCAGTTTACGAACCAGGAGCTAGCAATGCCTGGGATGTCTTTGCTTCTTAATGACGGAAAAACGAAAATCGGGGGTCGAGCGGCTTAATACACACGATCCGGCCTGGAGGTACACCAAGTTCACAAACATGAGTTTAACAATCTTGATGGACCCGTATGGTGCTCATTAAGATTGTCTACCACTACGACCTGCCTAGTCGATCTCATCTACAGGAAACCCACTGCTGACATGGAGTACGATCGTCGTATGTTGGGAGGACTATCCCGCTCTACGCGTCTCGGATTCACTCATATTCTGGTTCTAGAGGACTTCGATCTCCCTAGAGTCAATTTCGCGGAACAAACGTATATTGGAGGTGAAAACTCAACTGAAGCTCGGTTCTTCAGCTTCATTGAGGATCTGGGATTATACGAAAATGTAAAGTCGGCAACTCATTGGGGAAACAGTCAGATACCGTCGCGCTTAGACTGGGTATTTACAAACGAAGAATTTCTAGTTGACAACCTCTCAATACTGGCTCTGCTGGGGAAAAGTGATTACGCCGTTACAGCCTTCGGTTTTGTCAGCAAAACTGAGTTAATATATCCCCTTAACAACAGGCGCTGTAATTTTAAAAGGTTAACTGTGTCAGCACTACAGGACTATCCACAACAGGTGTATTGTGATGTTCACCCTCAACTTGATGTAGACGCTCATTGGGACTTCTTACTTCACACGCTCTTATATGCTACAAAACAGTCTGTTCTTCAAATGGCCCCCAAAATCTACAAGCAACCTACAGTCATCAAGAAACACACTCCTCGTTTCCTTAGTCGTCAAAAACACTGTTGTGCGGAATACGAACGTACTGATAACAACGATGCATACGGGCAATACAAATATATAAGGAACATATGCACAGAGGCAATAAGAGAAAACAGGCTTCAGTACCGGATAAAGCTTGTTGATAAATTTGTCTCTAATCCGAAGAACAGCCTCTCTTTGAAAAGCCAAAACGGGAATTTCTTAACTGCTAGACCCTAATGGCACAATCGATAACGACGGTGACGCCGCTAACCTTCTGGCTGAACAATACTCTCGGACATTTCAACCGACCCACACTAATTATACTGATGAAAACTTCAAATGCAACTGCAAAGGACTTTCTAAAATGAACTTGAGCGCTGACTTGGTGTTCCAGAAACCGCATCATTTAAGAATAGACACTTCTCCTGGCCCGGATATGGTCCATTTTGTCATACTGAGGAAAGCCGCTTCAATCCTGTCAAGCCGCTTAGCGTGATGTTCTCACACTCGCTAAACCGAGGAAAACTACCGGAAAATTGGAAGCTACTTCACATCAAGCCAATTTTCAAAGGAGGTCGATGCAGCAAACCTTCAAGTTACAGACCGTTGACGCTTCTCTCAATACTTTCAAAAATCATGGAGTACCTGATATGCGACTATTTAAATGACTATTTACTGTCCTTAAATTTCTTATCACACCAACAGCATGGTTTCGGGAAAGGTTGCTCTTGTAAAAACAAACTGCTGACCGCGGTGGACAGATGGACAAGCATCCTCGATCACAAGGGGAAGGTTAATATCATCTACCTAGTTTTCTCAAAAGCTTTTGATGAGGTTAACCATACATGTCTTATCAATACGCTCAAGTGATTGTGTATCAGACCACCTCTAATCAATTGGCTCACTTCATACCTGAAAAATCGATATTTTAAGGTCAGGGTTAATTTCACCTTATCTCAGGCTATGGAATGTACTGGTGGGGTCCCCCAGTGCCCAATACTAGGACCTCTTCTCTTCTTGATCTACATAAATGATCTTCCTCAACAGGTAACGTCAGACTTATTACTTTTTGACGATGACGTGAAACTTTGGAGAGAGATACGCAACCGAGAAGACATACAAGCATTTCAAGGTGGTCTGACTCGACTTCACAGTTGGGCAGACGATAACGATCTTACTTTGAACACTTCAAAGTGTAAAGTAGTCCATCTGCGACATGTCGCAGACTACAGTTACAACTTAGGAAACTCCTACTTAGTAGTATCCCAAGTCGAATAAGATTTAGGAGTCCTGGTGCCCCATGATTTAAAGTCTTATGCTAACTGTGACAAAAATGCGCTGGTAACATTGAAGCGCATTTCGGCCAGTTTGACGGAAGAACTTTCCATATAATCTTCAACAGTTTTATTCGTCCCCATTTAGTGTACGGAAACATAGTATTTCCTCATTCACTCCAGAAGGATAAAGACAGTCTGGAGCGTATCCAACGGCGAACCAGGAAATCAGTTCGGGGACTCAAATTCAAACCTTATGAAAAGCGCCTTCAATCACTTAACCTTTACACATTAGAGTATAGTCGTCTTAGAGGTGACATTCTGATGGCTTACAGTATCCTTAACACTTCCGGACATCTACTTAAACACCTACTAAAGTTAAGCCTCAATACAGACCTAAGAAGTAACGCCCAGAAATTGAAGATAGAACATAGCAGAACGGACTGTAGACCCAACTTCCACTAATTAAGAGTTGTCAAATGCTGGAATTCGCTCCCGAATGAACCAGTCCAAGCGACTTCCCAGGAGTCCTTTAAGAGGAAAATTGACCTATTCTTAAGGACTCAGGATAACATCATATTATGAGTTAATAATTTCTCTTTTTTCTAATCTATCATAGTTAATATACCTAGGTTTCTGCCTGGAGGTATTGATGATCCCCTGCTACTAGACACGGAAGCCTGTTAAGGAGAGCTTTTTCTATTCCGTCCACAACCATTTGAACCATAATTGACTCAGTATCGATACATAAAATCACTACTTTCAGTACATACTATTTTAAAGTTGAGGCGGAGTTTTCTATTGAACGACTTAAATTAGGGTTCGTTTTACTATAAAGTCAGTTAAAGATAATTATAACCTAATGATTCAGATATCAGAATTGCTTACACGAGTTTTTCCTCAAACTATTTCGTCTGGTGTTTCAGGTAAATGTCATTTTGGTTACAACGTATTACTAAAGTATGTCGATGATTAAGAAGGGTGTAGTGGATTATTAGTGATATGATATATCATAG